GGCTGGGGCGGGTCGCGAGCGCGGGGGCAGCAGCGGGTGCGCGGTGACCCCGGCCGGCCCCCCGCAGGCACCAACGTGTACATCACGCGAGCGCAGCTCATGAACTGCCACGTCAGCGCGGGCACGCGGCACAAGGTCCTGCTGCGCCGGCTCCTGGCCTCCTTCTTTGACCGGTGAGCGCCTCCCCAGCGCCGCGGGCGGGGCGGGCCCCCCTTCCCACCTCCCAGCTCACTCCCGCCCCCCCAGGAACACGCTGGCCAACAGCTGCGGCACGGGCATCCGCTCGTCCACCAACGACCCCAGACGCAAGCCCCTGGACAGCCGCGTCCTCCACGCCGTCAAGTGTGAGTGGCCGCGGCCCCCGCGGGCCGGGGAGGGGGCTGGACGGGGGGCAGCGCCGACGGGGCTCGGGGAGCTGGGGCGGAGCCGGCAGCCCGCCCTGTGCTCCGTGCTGCGGACAGGGCCAGGTCTGGGCCTGAGCCCGCGCCGCCGCCCTGTGCCCGCAGACTACTGCCAGAACTTCGCCCCCAACTTCAAGGAGAGCGAGATGAACGCCATCGCGGCCGACATGTGCACCAACGCCCGGCGCGTGGTGCGCAAGAGCTGGATGCCCAAGGCCAAGCCGCTGCACCTGGCGGAGGGCGACGCCTACAGCAGCTTCATCGGCGACTCGGGCAAGATGGAGCCCGACATGATGGGCATGGAGCACAGCTTCGAGACGGCCAGCCACGACAGCGAGGCCGGCCCTTCGGCAGAGGTCCTCCAGTAACCCGGGGTGCGGGGGACCCCGCGGTGGGGGGGGGCGCCACACACACCCCTCCCGCCACTCCCGCCCACCCTGGTCACGAGCTACTGTCTGCCCCTCCCCAGGACCCTCGGGGGGCGCTGCATGCTCCCGGCCCCTCTGCCTCCCATCCCACCACCCCTTCCCCCTGCGAGCCGGGGCCGGCGGGTGGGTGGGCTGGAGGGGGGGCCGTGGGAGGCTCTGGGCCCCCCAGGCCCGCCCAGGGAGGGGTGGGCCTGGGGGGAGGGGGAGAACCGCTGCCCCCCTCCCCAGCCCCCTGGGACTCGGGACCAGGGTTCTCAGGACCCTCCACCTCCTCCCAGTGCTTCCAGTCTCCAAAAGCGCCTTCCTATCCCCCGGTCCTTCCCTGCGCGGGGCAGCTGGGGGAGGGCTCCCCCACGAACCCTAGGGTGACCCCCCAGGCGGCCAGTTGTGCCCCCCAGCGTGCGGAAACCCCCGCAGCCTCCGGCTCTGGGAGGGTCTCGGCGGCAGGACAGGCCTCCCGTGTCCGCGGGCCCGCGTGGGTAGACGGCTCGAGTTGAGAAAGGCGCCGGAGGAAGGGCGGTAAGACCAGGGTTGGGGCGCCCGGCCCGCCCGCCGCGGGGCCCGGCCCCCGCCCCCGCCCCCTGTACATACTTTTTAAGACATTTTTTTAGCGAATGAAATATTGAAGTATAAGATTTCCTTTTATTTTTCAAACCAACGGGACTGTGTCGGGGCGCGAGGCAGGCCAGGGCTGAATGTGTGCGTGCCCGGGGGGTGCCGCCCCCCGGCTTCCGTGGGTCCCCAGCTCCCCTCCACTCAGTGATGAGTTCCAGGGCGCCCAGGGCCACCTCAGGCCCCCGGCTGGCGGAGCCCACCTGGATTGTTCTCGATCGTTCCTGGCTCTTCTCTCCATTCCTCTCTTCCGGCCCTCCCAGAGCCAGGGCTCGCGCTCGGAGTCTTCATGTGAACGAGGGCTGTGGGGGTTTTAGTTTTGTTTTGGGGTTTTGTTTTTGTTCTTAATTCTTAGTTCCCTCCCTTTGAGTGTTGCTTCCTCATCTCTGGGTGCCCCTGCCACCCCTACCCTCAGCTCCCACCTGCCCTCGGCTGCAGCCACCCCGCTGAGAGGCGGGGTCCCCCGGGCATCTGCTTGTCATGGGGGTGGGGTGTCAGGGCTGGCTGGGGCCCCAACACCGCAGCCCCAGGTGGCCTGAGGGGGGGTGGACGCCCCAGCTAAAGCACAAGCACCTTAGTCGCACCCTCCCCCGGCTGATCCCAAAGCACAAAATCCTGCTCACTTGGCAGGCCGCGGGGCAGGCTGCGGAGTAGACACCCCCAAAAGAGGCAGGGGCTCCCCCCTCCCAGGCCTTAGCGGGGGCAGCGGTGGGGGGGAGGGGTCCTCCTGCCCGTCCAGCCCTCCGAGCCCCTGCAGTGCCGGGCTGGGTGGGAGGCACAGCCCACTTGTCGTGGGGACCCCGGGGTGCTCCTGGCCCCAGGATGCGGTGGAGGGTGCAGGGGAGGAAACTCCGTGCTAGGAGAGCCAAAGACAGGGTTGTGCCTTACCCCCGGAGCCACCCCTGCACCCCCCCCCGCCCCTCCTAGTGGCCAGCTGTGCCCCCCTTCTGAGCTGCATGGTGTCCCCCTCCCTTCACACACACCCCCTCCCCCCCTCCCGGCAGCCAGGAAAGACTAAAATGGAGAACCCCGTCTAGCAGACTGTAGGCCCTCCCCGCCTTGCTGGCCGCCCTCGCACCCAGCACCCACCTTCTCTTCCCCGGGCCAGGCTGCCCACCTGCCCGGGGAGTGCCAACACCCCCCCTCCCCGCCCCGCGGCGCCAGTGAGATTGCACATTAACTACTGTAAGGAGAGGAGCGCGTTGGAAATGTGAACCAGAGTCTCAGCGATGCTGACCAGAATAAACTAAACGCCTTTGTAACAGCCCTGCTGCATGCCGCTCATTGGGGGGCGCCGGGGGCACCCCAGCTCCCACCCTGCTGTTGCCATCTCTCCCTCCGGAGCTGGGTCAGGGAGGTGTGTGACTTGTCACACACTTGGTGCGTGTGTCCATGTGTCCATCCTGGGGTTTGAACTCATGGTCCCAGCTTGTCACTGAGCTCTTCTGCTCAAGGCTGGTGCTCAGCGCTTGGCTTGTGCTGGCCTGGTTGGCCTTTTTGGTCGGTGTTGATAAGGTTCCTTTTGTGTCTGGGCTGGCACCTGAGCATTTGTCCTGCAAGCTTTTCCACCTGGGCTGCCCTGGAGCCAAGGTGCTCTGTCTCCGCCCACTGCACAGCTAGGATTACAAAAGGGAGCCACCAAGCTCAGCCAGTAGTGTTTCATGCAGCTGAAACCAAACATGAGATAGAAACCACCTCAGGTTCAAAGTGCTGAATGCCGCTGGGCTTGTACGGAGGGTTAATGCGTCAGGAGGGAGTCAGGTGCCTCATACCTGTAATGCTACTCAGTAGGCTGAGATCTGAGGATAGCAGTTCGAAGCCAGCCTGGGCAGGAAAGTTCCTGAGACTATTACTTCCAGTCCACCAAAAAAGCCATATGTAGAGCTGAGACTCAAGTGGTAGATCACCAGCCTTGAGCACAAAGTCTTAGGCAGTGTTCAAGCCCTAGGCTGAGTTCAAGCCCTGGGACCCCACACCTAGGAAACAAACAAAAAGAGGTGTGGCTCTAAGTTTGTAGTCACCCCACCCACCTTATGAAAGAAACACATGCTGAGCCCCACGGTGGCTGACACCTGTAATCCTGGCTACTCAGGAGCAGAACCGAAAGTCAAAGTCACGGTTTGAGGTCAGCCTATGCAGGAAGATCTGTGAGACTTACCTCCAACCAACCAGCAAAAGGCTGTAAGTGGGCGGGGTGCCAGCGCTGGTGCCTGTCATCCTAGCTACTCAGGAGGCTGAGATCTGAGGATCGCGGTTCAAAGCCAGTCCAGGCAGGAAAATCCACGAGACTTTTTTTTTTCTACCAGCTGCAGGCCTTGACCTCGGCCTGAGCGCTGTCCCTGAGCGCTTCTGCTCAACGCCAGTGCTCTGCCACTTTGAATCACAGTGCCACTTCTCTCCAATAAACCACTAGAAAATCAGAAGAGGTGCTGTGGCTCAAGCGATAGCGCACTGGCCTGGAGCTGAAGAGCGCAGAGACAGCGCCCAAGCCCAGAGTTCAAGCCCCACGACCGACGAAAAAAAAAGTCTAAGTGGAGTTGTGGCTAAAGTGGTAGCACCTGCCTTCCCTGCGTCAGCACATAAGCAGGAACGCGTCTGAAAAGTTTAGAGTTTTATTTGCAAATTGGCACGTAGAGAAGACACAGGGAGAATGCCTTTGGGGTCTTGGCAGGCCATCCCCCTCCCCCACGGAGCACCTTTGACCCAGGACCCATGGCGCCTGGAGACTGAGTGTCCCGCTGGCTTTGGCTGACACAGCCGGCAGCGCCGCCCCAAGCCCCACTCCCTTTTCCTTGAGGGAGTGGGGGCAGGGAGCAGACCCCAGCCCCGACCCATCAAAAGGCAAAGAGTAGCCGGGCGCTGGTGGCTCACGCCTGTCATCCTAGCTACTCAGGAGGCTGAGATCTGAGGATCGCAGTTCAAAGCCAGCCCGGGCAGGAAAGACCGTGAGACTCCTATCTCCAATAAACCACCAGAAAACTGGAAGTGGCGCTGTGACTCAAGTGGTAGAGCACTCGCCTTGAGCTGAAGAGCTGAGGGACAGCGCGCAGGCCCAGAGTTCAAGCCCCACGACCGATGAAAAAAAAAGTCTGTAAGTGGAGTTGTGGCTAAAGTGGTAGCACCTGCCTTCCCTGCGCCAACACATAAGCAGGAACGCGTCTGAAAAGTTTAGAGTTTTATTTGCAAATTGGCACGTAGAGAAGGCACAGGGAGAATGCCTTTGGGGTCTTGGCAGGCCATCCCCCTCCCCCACGGAGCACCTTTGACCCAGGACCCATGGCGGCTGGAGACTGAGTGTCCCGCTGGCTTTGGCTGACACAGCCGGCAGCGCCGCCCCAAGCCCCACTCCCTTTTCCTTGAGGGAGTGGGGGCAGGGAGCAGACCCCAGCCCCGACCCATCAAAAGGCAAAGAGTAGCCGGGCGCTGGTGGCTCACGCCTGTCATCCTAGCTACTCAGGAGGCTGAGATCTGAGGATCGCAGTTCAAAGCCAGCCCGGGCAGGAAAGACCGTGAGACTCCTATCTCCAATAAACCACCAGAAAACTGGAAGTGGCGCTGTGACTCAAGTGGTAGAGCACTCGCCTTGAGCTGAAGAGCTGAGGGACAGCGCCCAGGCCCAGAGTTCAAGCCCCATGACCTACCAAAAAAAAAAAAAAAAGAGGCAAAGAGTAGGACAATTAAGAAAGCCACTATCAGATGGCACAGCACAGTGGCCAGTCTGAGAACAAAAGGGTCAAAAGTGACGGGGACCCAGCACCCCCCCCCTCACTCTGGTCACACGGGTCACCTTGGCCATCTTCCCAAGGACCCGGTCCATCTGCCAGTGAAGTGGTCCATCTCCCAAGCACAGCCACCCAGTGCGCTGCCAAGACCAAGATGCCATCAGCCCTCCCCCCGGAAGCCAGCTGGGGCCACCCAAGGTGCCCACCCCAACCCCCAGGTTCTGGCTGACCTGCTTTGCTCCTCCAGCCCCTCCCCCACGCGCCCTGACATACGCTGCAGGACCTGGATGCTTCCAGACACCATGTCCAGCTGGTGCATGAGCAGCTATATCATGGGGGGGGGGCCCGAGGGTCCTCCGCAGGCTGTCACCCTCCCCCTCCCATCCCAGGGCCCCCCAACCCCCCCACGCAAACCTGCTGGCTGGCTGGCTCTTCCAAGGAGGAGGGAGAGACAGCAGAGCTGCCCTGGCACCCGCGAGGTCGCGGCGGGACTCGGGACACTGCATGGAGAGGCCGCGTCCCAGGACGCGAGTGGCCAATCCATGCCGGTGTAACTAGGGTGCACCCACTTCCCCAAAGGTGGGCGAAGATGGGTCCCGTACCCCTCTCCACTCCCCTGTCCTCATTGTAAAGGATGGATGAGTGAGTTCATCTTGGGGAACATCAGCGAGCTACCCAAGTGCTAATAAATCTTGCCTTCTCATTATTTTGCAATCATTTCAAATTGCTGCCTAGGTATCATGCTAAGTGTTTTGTTTTCCTTTTGGTGCCAGTACTGGGGCATATACTCCAGGCCTGTGCATCTCTTCCCTTGGCTTTTTGTCTCAAGGCTGGCACTCTACCACTTGACCCACAGTTCCACTTCTGGTTTTGCCAGTTAAGTGGAGATAAGAATGACACAGCGAAGCTAGGTGCTAGTGACTCATACTTGTCATCCTAGCTACTCAGGAGGCTGAGATCTGAGGATGGCGGTTCAAAGCCAGCCTGGGCAGGAAAGTCCATGAGACTCCTATCTCCAATGAACCACCAGAAAACTGAAAGTGGCGCTGTGGCTCAATTGGTAGAGCGCTCGCCTTGAGCTGAAGAGCTGAGGGACAGCACCCAGGCCCAGAGTTGAAGCCCCACGACCGACCAAAAAAAAAAATGGCAGCGTTTTCAGCCTGGGCTGGCTTTGAACCATGATCCTCAGATCTCAGCCTCCTGAGTAGCTAGGATGACAGGCGGGAGCCACTGACGTCCATACCCGGCTGGGCTGATGTTTCCTAATGTGCAGAGAACAGATGGGCAAAGCCAGGTGATGGTGCTCAGGCCTGAAATCCTCGCTACTCAGGAGGCTGAGACCTGAGAATCTCAGTTGGAAACTAAGTGAAGCAGAAAAGCTGGTGAGACTGGTCTCTTGATCAGCAAAAAGCCAGAAGTGAAGCTGTGGTTCAAATGGTAGAATGCTAGCCTGGAGTGGAAAAGCTCAGGGACAGCGCCCAGGCCCCGAGTTCAAGCTACAAGACTGGCACACATGTACAAAAAAAAGAGGCAACCAAGAGGGAAAGGGTAGGTTAAGGTAGGCAGGTGGAGGGAAGACTAGCAGAAGGTGGATGGGGAACCAATCAGACCATGTGCAGACCTGGAGAAAAAGACAGGATGCAAGCTATGTGTCAATAGAAAGGCTATACATAGACACCCCACACACACACACTGAGGAAAACCAGTATATTGCAAAGAAAAGAGTGTATTCCAGCCAAGATACATTTCTCCCTCCTCATCCTCAAAACAGATGGGCTCCAGGCCGGCTCCTGTAATTCCACCCATAACCCCAGCCATTCTGGAGCTGTAATCCGGAGGATCGGGGTTCCAAGGCAGCCCGGTCAGGACACATCAGAGATCCACATCTCTGACCCTGAGCAGGTGGAGTGAGCAGGTGGGACATTGCGGGAGGGGGGGGGGAGGCAGGCCGGGAGACAGCCTCGCGCATGCGCAGGTCCCTCGCGCAGGTCCCCGGCTGCGAGCTTGAACTTGCCCGGGTTAGGCTCTACAATGCGTGGGGCTGGGAGTCAAAGGTTAAGGGTCAAAGCTTAAGGTCCAATGCCCCCCCGCCCCTCCAGGACCTCCCCCATTCCCTCCACCCGTTCCTGCCTGTCACTCGCAGCGGGTGTCTCCGTGCACCCCCCTCCCCTGGGCTCCTCCAGGTCCTCCTGGCCCCACGCCCCGCGCCTTCCCGCCGCCCACGCCGGCAGCGGTGCCCAGACTCCCCGGCACGCTCTGGCTTGCCACCCCGACACCGGCTGGCACCGCCCCCCGCACCTTCCCGCACTGTCACTCACCCTGACAGCTCGTCCGTCCCGGCGATCGCTTCCCCGCCCGCCGGTCCCCGGGTCACACCACCATCGAGTGTGAGGCCGCCAGGGGAGAGAGAGGCGCTGAAGTGTGGGAGCTTCCGTCTCCTCTGCAGCCATATTTGTTGTGGGCAAGAGTGACTTCCGGTGTGGGCACCGCGCCCCTCCTCCGGGTAGCTTTCGCCAGGGGCCAGAGTGTAAGTTCCGTCTTAAAGAGAGCTAGGATTTTCAGCGCCCTCCCCCATTACTGAGGACGCACACCCTCCCAGTTCCCTTCGGGGGCAATGTATGTGACTACGGCATCCTGTAAATAAGGGTGAGAGCTGAGGAAGGGGCTGATCAGAGGTTCACTGAATCCCTGAGCCCCGAGCTGGCCACCGGTGTCCCGTCCTTATGAGATCGTTCCAGCCAAGGGTCCCCCGAGGGTGGCGGCCTACGGAGGAGCTGGGCGCCCCATCTCCGGGAAGGGGCTTCTGCTGGGCTCTGCTCACTTTTCCTGTAAATGGGATACTGTGCCGCGAGGGCAGCAGGGACCCCGGAGTTGCCTGCGAGGCTCACAGTGTGCAGGGGGATTCTGTAGACTCGAATTAACGTTACTTACACAGAATCGGGGTTCCAGCCCGAGGTTCGTGGGTGGAGATGTGGGGGGAGCTCGGAGGTGGCCTCCGGGAGGGTCCCCTGCGTGTGCGCGTGCGCGTGCGCGCTCCGTCCGGGGAGGGTCACCCGCAGTATGATAGTCTCCCGGCATGGAACCTCCGGGAAAGTACTTCTGTGGGGGTGGAAGAAAGTGGGGTGCCGGTATCCCAGCCGGGGGTCGGAGGGCATGTTTTGGGGAGCCTTGACAACTTTTGTGTCAATCGCTGTGTGGGTTCCTACAGATTGCTTTGGGCTGGGGATGCCACTAAGTCTCCAGAATGGCTGAAGGAGTTGGGGGGGGTCGCCCCCGCGGGTCGTAGCCGGGGGTGGGGGTGAGGAAGGGGACGCCGGCGCCTTTTCCCTACCCCGATCGCTGGACTTAGGCCCGGAAGCCCCAGACTCCAGCCGGCCGGGGGCGGGGAGGGCGGGGCGTGTCCGGAGACCGAGGCTCCGCCCCCGGAAGCTCGCACCACCCTCTACGGCGATCCCGGCCCCCGTCCTTATTTGGGCAGCCGGAAGCAGCGCCGCCGCCCGCCCTGCGTCACTACTTCCAAATTTAGCCCTGGAAGTCTGCGGGCTGCCTTGGCGGGAAGGTTCTACGCGCCGGGGTGGGGGGAGGGGGAGATCCCTTAAAGCGCCCGCACCACAAAGCGATGGAGCCGTTTGGAACCAAGTTGCATTCCCCGGCCCCCCCCCTGCCCCCCGCCACTGGAATTAAGTTGTTTTGGGAGCGGAATGCTGGGGAGCTCCAGGCCGAAGGTGGGACCTGGAGGATCGGTTTCCAGCTCCAACACCGACTCCGGCCCCCTCCCCGGGGCGGAGGCGGAGCGCGGGGCTGTCCGCCGTCGGGGGAGGGGGCGGCCACGCGCTGTAACCCGGACGGTGTCGTCTCAGGGTGCGCTGGCGAAGGTCGGGGGGGAAGCTGGGGGGACGGGGCGGAAGAGGATGCTTGGGGCAGCTGGGGTGGGGGGCGAGGCGGGGGGAGGGCGGGGATGGCTGTGCAGGATGTGCGCCTGGGTCTGCGGATATCCGCTGCCCGCCGAGCCAGCCAGAGCCTGGCGCCTGCCCCTTAACCATGGCCAAACAAGGAAGAACGGCCTGGGCCGGCGGCTCGTGGAGATCGAAGAGCTCGGGGGTCCTCGCACCCTCCCCCCCAGCAGCTCGTTCTTCCGCTTGCCAAGTGTTGGAGCGATCGCGTCGATTTTCCCACTGAAAAAGGAAAAAGCAAAAATATCCAGCAGCAGACACGACGGACTCCCCGCGGAGCGGACGGGAGACGGGTGGACAAAAAGCAGAAGTTCGACGGGATCTGGCCCGTCGTACGTGCACGGTAAAAGTGGCAAGCACTCCCGAAGCCGGCAGACCTTCCTTAGACGGCTGCGATCCTCGCAGCTGCCACCCAGAGGGGAACTGACACGGCCTCGAAGTCGGGTCTTTCCCGGGTGCTTTCTGGAGACTTCCCGCCTGCCACACACAGGCGCCTCCCCAGGCGACCTCCACACCTGGGTGGCCCCTGAGCCCCCACCCGCTCCCCTGGGCCCCAGAACGGGGGCCTCGGTGGCTCTCCACCCGAGAGCTCCAGGCGCGGTGTGTGCCGGGCTCATTCCGGGCGCAGCTCCGCGTCCGCGTGAGCCCCCTCCCGCTCTCGGAGGGTAAATATCACCCTGTCGCTTTAAGGAGTAATTGGCCACGACGCCTAGGAAAGCCCGGATGCGGCCCTCTGATTGGGCGTGGCGTCCCCGTGACGTCATGGTGGGTATAAAAGGGCTCCGGTGGCCGGCGCCGGGGCAGAGCGTCTGGAGCCGCCTGGTCGCGCGCGTCGCTGTGTGGCTGACTGTGGAGTGGTGTCCGCTTAACCTGGGATCCCTGTCTTGTCTCGCGGAGTTCTCGCCGCCCTCGACGGCCCGTCAGCCATGGAAGTGCAGAAGGAGGCGCAGCGCATCATGACCCTGTCGGTGTGGAAGATGTACCACTCGCGGCTGCAGCGCGGCGGCCTGCGCCTGCACCGCAGCCTGCAGCTGTCGCTGGTCATGCGCAGCGCGCGGGAGCTCTACCTCTCGGCCAAGGTGGACGCGCCGGAGCCCGAGCTCTGCCCGAATCCCGCCGGCTCCCCGGACCCTCGCCTGCACCCGTCGCCGCGGGAAGCCGAAGCCCCGGCGGAAGCTGCGCCCCCCGACGGCGAGCCGCCCTCTCCGGAGCCCATGGACACGCAGGAAGAGGCGCCCCGAGCCGCGGAGACCCCGGTCCGCGGTGACCCGCGCCCCGCCAGAGTCAGCCGCAAGAGGCGAAGCAGCAGCTTGAGCGACTGCGGGGACGCCGGGCTGGTCCCCAGCAAGAAGGCGCGTCTGGACGGCGGGGAGGAGGAGGAGGGGAAGGAGGCGGCGGCGGAGGTCCCCGATCGCCTGCAGCCCCCGCCGGCCCACGCGGAGGGCGCCTTCCCCAACCTGGCGCGCGTCCTCCAGAGGCGGTTCTCCGGCCTCCTGAACTGCAGCCCCGCCGCCT